AGGAATCCAAATTGTGTGCAGTTCTTCTTCCATAACTTTTTGTTTTCCAAAATCAAATTGGTTTTGATTTTGGTTTGGATCAAGTTTATTCTCCATTGCCTTCACTTCTTGTGTTTGGTCTACACTGAATTGTTTGAAAGTAAAATCTTTTGGGATAAAACGGAAGGATTGATTTTCATGTATCAAGAAAGAAGATTCAGACTGAATTCTATAAAGAAAGCTAATGGATCGTAGTATTAAACAACTATTCTTTATTTATACTTAGGAAAGTACATGTAACAAAGACCACTTTGGAGTGCCTAAATGGTGACTATGAGGTAGAGCCCGGATATGGCTATGAAAGGAACAGTTTCTTAAAGAAGCATAATATTGAAACCTTTTTCATTGTGCCATCTCATCGGAGAAAGGTTTGCACTTGATTTTTTATTAATTATGTATTAGATTTTTTAAATTCATACATACTTAGATAATAGTATGAAATAATGAACAGATGATAAACTGATTGAATTGGAAATGTTATTTGTGTTGAAATGTTATGTTCAAGAATGGAAAGTTTGTTTTTACTATAAACTAACCTTTTTCACAAGGAAAAAAGTTTGTACAAGAAAATTGTACAAAATGCTATTTATTTAACATATTTTTATGAATAAGAACAACTTCATGGTTATGCTTTTTGTTTTATAGGTAATCCTCAACTTACAATATTCATTTGGTGACAGTTCAAAATCACAGTGGCATTGAAAAAAGTGATTAATGACCAATTTTCACATTTATGACCACTGCAGTGTCCCATGGTCATGTGATCAAAATTTAGATGTTTGGCAACTGGCATGTATTTATGACAGTTGTGGTGTCTTGTGGACATCTAATAATCTTTTACAACTTCCAACAAGCAAAGTCATAGCTGGATTCACTTCATCTTATTAACTTAACAACTGTGGTGATTCCTTTAACAACTGTAGCAAGAAAGGTCATAAAATGGAGCAAAAATCACTTGATAACTGTCTTGCATAGCAACAGAAATTTTGGGCTCAGTTGTGGTCAAAAATTGAGGATACCTGCACTCCCATTCATTGTGTCCTTAAAAGATTAAATTTCATTTCTTTCTCCAAAAACTCCAAAAAGAAGACAAAGCATCATTTTTGGCATATGATAAATAAGTGCAAAGAGGTTGCTAGTAATTGAATTGTTAGCACCTGGTAGAAGTGTCTATGTGTTAGTTAGCAGATAATTGCATAGATCATGGAAACAGGTTGCAGATGAAAGCCATTTATGTAATGCAGTGGTGGGATTCAAAAAAATTTACTAGTGGTTCTGTGGGCATGGCTTGGCAAGGGAAGGATAATGTAAAATCTCCAGTCAGAGGTGGTATTTGCCAGTTCTCCAAACTACTCAAAATTTCTACTACTGATTCTCCAGAACTGGTCAGAACCTGCTGAATACCACCTTTGATGTAATGTATAACATAAGTTTAGATCAGGTGCTTCAGACTACTAAATATATCCTGAAAAGAAGATTTCTGGTCAACAGAGGAAATTACCAGGGCTGGATTGATTATAATGTTGGAGAAGGAGGTTCATAAAGAAACAACATTAACAACAAGGGCAAACTCTCATCCCAAGACTTTAAAATGTAGGGATCTGGAGGAAATACAGAAATAAACCTCCCCTCTATTTAATATTTCTATATGCAGCATGAATATTTTACAGGGAATTCATGCAAAGATATGGTTTGCTGGCTTTCGTCCTACTGCATTACATAAATTTAATGTGACATGCAAATTCAGTAGAGGTTTGCTTTATTTTTGATAACAAATGGAAAATTTATGCTATCTGAAACATTTTAAATTTTCTATTTTATTAGTGACTATATTTTAAATTCTGTATTCCTGTGTATTATTGGTCTGAAACTATAAATAAATTATTGATTTATGGTATATTTTTATTTACATTGTTTTAATAAGTTATTATTTCTGTTGGTAATTCTCAGCTCCTCAGTACACTTTAGGAAGCCTGCCTATATAATTATATGTGTGCATTTTGCCTTGCAAACAAAAATACGATAGACTTCACAATAAAATAAATAAATGTGCTTGACATAATTCCAGAAAGATAGTTTCCATTATTTTTGTTTCTCCCTCCATTACAGTTTCTAGAAAGAAAGAATATGAAACAATGGAAAAACTGGATTCTTCATAGGATTCTCTTTTGGATTCATGGCAATTGCACCATAAAAACCAAGAGTTCTTTATTTAATTAAACAATTGTTTTCACATTCATATCTATGGATTCTTGAGCTGGTAGCAGATTTGAACAGTGAGGAGTTTGGGGAGGAGAATGGGCCAGTTTTGGAGTCTGGGGAAGGCTCTGATGAGTGCTCTGCATCAGAGACAGATATAGGCCAGGGCCATCTGACAGGTATCAGCTGCCTTTGGAGTCAGACATCAATGAGGCAGAAGAACAGTTAGAGCTTGTTTCCAGTGTGTGCATGCACAGAGTTGCCAGATGAAGAGAACAGCTGATAAGCAAGGGACGACATGCAAAGAAAGCCACAGGTAGACTGTGATTGGCCCCTCCCCTAGAGTATAAAAGAGGAGCGAAAGGGAAGTGGGGCTTTGCAGGAAATAATTGGTTCATTCAGGCATGCTTGCCAAGTATTGCAGCATCTGAAAGATACAGCCCTGGCCCCTCTTCAGCCTGATAAACCTTTGTAATTGGGAATTATCATGAAAAACTGTTAGCCAGAACTTTGTTGGAGAGGAAATTCATTGTAAATCAAATAAAAGGGGTTTATCAGAACAAGGACTCAGCTTCGTGCTGTTGAGGGAAGTCTAGGTCAGAACACCTCTAGTGGATCTCCTTTCATATGTAGAATCTATTGTGCATCATCATTATATAGTGCTATGGGGAGGGAGACCTATTCTGTAGGAGGAAAAAGTTAAACTTTATGACAGAAAAGAGATTTATTTTCCTTCCTTCCTTCCTTCCTTCCTTCCTTCCTTTCTTCCTTCCTTCCTTCCTTCCTTCCTTCCTTTCTTTTTAACTTGATTTACTGCCCATCTCACTGAGTGGTTACTCTGGGGGATTTGCAACAGTAAAACATGGAGAAATTAAAAAAGTGTAAACACATCAAAGTAATGAAACAATAAAGATAACTAACAGAATAAATGATGAAGGTAATATGAGATTAAAAATTGAAAGTGGGTAGCAAGGGGCAAAGAGAGAGGTAGGCATACTACTATCAGTCTAGTAAATCACCTCCAGTGGGGCTCACCCACTTAAATATCTAGTAACTAAATAATAAACATAATAAACATAAACAGAGAATTACATTATTCTGGCAAATATTTTATATTTTTATCAACTTTATCAATTATCAGCAGACATAATTATAATGAAAAAAGATATAAATTAACTTTCTTTTCAACCTGTAATCTTAGCTTAAAGCAGGCCCCACAATATTTTTCCTCAGTTACTTTTATCTCTGCTAGTAGGGACTAGTAAGGCAAAATGGGGGAATCATTAGCAAGAAAAATAGGTGAGACAGGGAAATCTAAGGCATGAACCCATTTCTCCTTTAAAATTCTCTGTAAAATTTTTAGGTTTTTTTTTTCTTTTAGGCCAACACTATTTGAAATATTGAAAAAGTATTTGGAAAAAAAATTATAGAGAGATTAATAGAAGATCTGGTGGTTAAATAAACTATTGTTGTGATAGATGAGAGACAGAGAGTAAGAAATTATTATTGCAGTATTAGTATAGCCAATTCCTTTAAAGAACAAATGTAATTTAGCTCATTTTATTTAAACTGTATAGATAAAATAAAACCATATAAAGTTGGAACTCAAATAAATAATCTTATAAAAATTTTGTATCTGTTTATTGTCAAATATAATATTGATTGTACACAAGTAAAGTTATATATATTGACTGTGCTTATATTTTTTATTGAATTGTGAGGAATGCATCATCTCATCTTTGCATAAAAGTAAACGGCAGCTTCCCTGTTATTGTGTCAGTAATTGATCTATCAAAGTGACAGATGTTTCTGTACAGCTTGGCTAACAGCATTAGATCTCTTGTATGCATCAGTGGAGTGTCTGCCAAGTTGGCAGGAAAAATGCTTCACTGGTATATCAATTGACTTTTCCCTTGGGCCTGTAGATCAGTCACAATGTCACTTGCTGATGCATTTTAACTTATCTAAGCTTTTCATGCCTGTTGTGCACTTACTAAATCATCACAATTTTCCAGAGAAATGTGTTTGTATAGTACTGTCCTATCCTCTTTGGGCACTGACTAAGGTGGGAATTCTAAAAACCAAAGGGGCATTTTCATGGGGTGGGGGTAGGGATATTACAGAAATAAAACTGAATTATTCTATTTATCTTAGTCCAGATGCTGCAGTCTTGTATATTAACATTTTCTGTTACTTTATTCTTACAATGACTTCCATATAAGCATCCAAAAGCTAAGAGATAGTAACTTTTCTATATTTGCTGTGCATTATTCTTTTTGATGAAGTAAGATTTTCTTCAGCAAGTCACAAAAATCACTGTTAACAGATGATAAAAATGTTTTCTTTTCAGAAGTAAAATTACTTTGGACTTAAAAAAATAAAAAAGTCTCAAAATGTGAACTGACAATATATTCCACCATCATTTTATTAAACTTATTAAGAGTTAATACAATAGTACATGAAAGCTTTTTCATGTACAGTTATACTGTTGAATAAGGATAAAATCTAAAATATTCAAAGCTTTTAAATATTTTATTAACCTGTCAGCCTCCAAATTCCAAAGAGGCAGCATATCTTGTTTTGTAGGAAACCTCAGCAATTGCAAGAGGGGCTTTTATGAGGTGGACATCAAATTAACATTCTGTTCATTAAAAAAAAATATTCTTGGCAAGAACCTAATCCATACATTTCAGAGCTCGCTCAGCCAAGTTACCCTGCTGCATCCAGAGCCTCAATGGCTCCAGCTGACCATCTAGCGATTGAGTGGGGATCTTTAGCCAAGGACAGTTTATCTTCCAAAGTAATTGCTACGATCCAGGCCTCAAGAAGACCATCAATGAACTGCATATATGGTGACACTTGGAGGACCTTTTACCTATGATGTAATAAGACTAAACATTCAGCCATTTTGGCTTCTATAAGTGACGTTCTGGAGTTCCTCTAGGACAGACTGGACAGAGGGGGCTCACCCAACGCTCTTCGCAGGCAGGTGGCAGCTTTGTCCTCAGTTTTATCTGCTGGTATATAGGAGTCTCTTTCTCACCGTCCCTTAATTTGTAGGTTACTCAAGGGAGCTACAAACTTGGGTTAATTGCATCTGGTTTAATGTAATAGGTACTAGTACTTTAGCATCTTCATTAAATCTAAGGTAGGAACAAAATATACCAGC